GGGGCGGGCATGGCCCGCGCGCTCAGCACCTGGAAAAGCCTAAGGGAGACGAGAGCGCGTGAGCAGCGGGATTCGGGCCCGGCGCGAAGCCCCCCCGGCCCCGCACTCACTCGCCGCAGCTCATGGCCCCGTCCCGCTCCCGCCGCCTCCAAGTCCTCAATGGAGCTCTGCGAGCGCGCCCGCGGCCGGGAGACTCGCGCGGCAGCCAATCACCGCCGTCGCCACGCCCCCCGAGGGGCCCCGCGGCCAATGGGAGCTCGCGCTGCCGTCTCAAACCCCGCCCCTCCACTGCTTTGGCGCGGGTGCTGCGGGAAACTAACAAAAATACACCCAAAGTGCGACAATTTTTGGTGCTTTCACAAAAATAACCCAAACTACTAGGGATTCCTAACAGAAATGCACCCACAAGCGTGACAAGTTTTGGTGCATTCTGCAAAAATAACCCAAACTACTAGGGTTTCCTCCTCTACAGTGATCATCCACACGCTCATTCCGGCTATCCCAACAGGAAAACCACCCTGGCTCCAGGCGCAAAACCAATTCCATCCGTTTCCACCCGTTTCCTTGCCCTGGAGAAGAAATTCAGCGACACCAGAGCAGGCACAAGGTGTCCCCAAGCCGCCAAACCACCTTCACTGGCTGCTTACGTGTGACTCCCTGACAGAAAGGACTGTCACCTAAATCAGATCACCCTGCCCTGTACTCCCTGCTAATCTCTCCAGAGCTGTCTAGCTATTTACGTTAAGCAGACCTGATTTTTCCTGCTTGCACAGATCTTCATCACCCCCTGACCCACCCCATCTATCCATAGGGTTTTCCAGCGGCTACGTCGGGGTGTCTGCAACGCGATGCACAGAGCGCAGGAAAGGGTCTGAATTTGGGGCTCCATTGGCAGGTCAGCAGAAAAAGCGGCAGGGGTGACAACGCTGGGCAGTCCCCTAGTGTCACCAGGGGCTGGGTGGCACCTCTGGGTGCCCAGATTACACGATGGATTTTCGTGTAAACCTTGATGCTAAGGGGGGACGGTGTCTGCATTACTAGGAATTGCACGTGCTCACGGTCACACACAAGGTACAATGTGACGAGTCCCTTTGCAGCAGCTCTCAGGTTGAAAACAGCTGAGCTCTACCTGTTGCTGAGAACTGTCTGCTCATGGCATCTCCACGACTGGCAGGAGGAGAGCGGATGCGGTGCGGGCTCGGCGCCCGTGCCCTCTCCGTGACCGCTTTCACCCTCTCCTACTTTGTCTTTCGAGCTAATCACTTGCTAAAGCCAAGCTCTCTGTTGCAGGGAGGGGACACAGGGCAGCCCGACACCTACACCAGACCCCAAGTAAGCTGGAAAAGGTGCTCCCAGGATGTGTCTTTCCTCCCTAATAACCACTTCCAAAAATCTTGCTGAAACAGAGCCTGGTGTCAAGTGCCCCTTCATCCTACCCTGCCTGGGATGGTTGCAGGGATGAGCCCCGAGCGGAGCAAAGATCCAGCATCCAGGACAGCGCACGGGCTCCTCACGCCGCTGCTGACACGCGAGTATCGGATAAGCCGCCTGGACACTCGTTGAGTCCGACTAAATAAGGCCAAGGAGAAAGTCTGCTGGCCGTGCCTCATCCGCGTTCTCCGAGCGGCTCTTCCATTCCTGCAGCAGCGGATTAACGGTGACTTTGGCTACAGTCACCTCTGCGGAGCCGCTCGGGAGGGGGAGGCAGCGCAGGGCCCCCGCCGCCCTCGCTTGGGGCTGCACAGAGGTGTGTGCTACTGATTCCTGAGGATTAAACCCGCCTTCCTCTTACTGTCTATACTTAAAAGAATCTTCTTTAGCTAACTGGATTCATTAGGAACGCTATAAACCACACATGCAAAGCCACTCGCGCTGCATGACGCACTGCGGCACCTCTGCCTCCCCTCACCTGGTGGGGACAGGGGAGCTCATCCCAGGAGCCCGGGCTGCTCCACGGGGCAGGGACACCCTGTCCTGAAGGAAAAAGAGCCACCGGCTGCCCAGTTTTGTGGCACAGGCAGAATTAAGTTTGTGTAGCTTGCGGCACAAGTCATTCCGTCCCCCAAGACGCACCTTTGCCCTGGGGAGCACAAGTTTGGCACAGGAAACACCAAAGGCGAGTAGAAATCCTGAATTCCAAAGCTCACGGCTACCTCCTAAATGATACTGTCAGGGATGCAAAGGGAACACGCTTGGCAAGCTCCCCATCCTGCCTTCCAACTCCAGGTAATAAGCAAGTGCAGAGCAACCCACAGGTCACCCTGCTCTGCTTACCTGGGACGTCCTTTTTGCTGTACCTGAGCTGCTGTTTCCACCCTCCTATCATTCCCAAGCCTTCCTGCTCTTTGGGTGTGAATCAAGATTTGCTCTGCAAGCAAATACCTCCATGTGTGTTCTTCTTTTTTTAATCTTTGCTCAATACATCATGTGGAAAAGGCAGCGCAGAAGAACGCCCTAATTCACCTCGGAGCCACAGGGCACTTGCACAACAGCCGCAGTTGCACAGCCCCCGCGACAAGATCGAAGCTTTGGGGACAGGGTGGGTTACACAGCACACCCTTCTTGTCACGCTTCCCACCCGACTGCCTGCTTTAAAGGACAGGGCTAAACTGGGGCAGGAACACAGGCAGCTTCAGGCTGAAGTAGAGAACACCCTGCTATTTGCAAGGGCAGGGGAGGAGGGCGACATCCGCTGTCGGAGCAGGCCGGGAGCTGCAGAGCCGGGATCTGCTTGTCCTCCCCGGGCACTCGGAGGGCTGCGACACAGCCTGCCCGCCCACGGGAGCACGAAGACGAAGGCGCCCGCCCGCGTTCCAGGAACAACAGAAACCACCCAGAGCCCCACGGGACGCGGGGGCAGAGAGCCCCGCGGCGCTACCAGCGAGCAGGCCGCTCTGCCGGGTTCAACCCGCTTTCCCCCGGGTTGAACACCCCGCTGCTCGGCCAGCGCTGCCCGTTGTCACCCCCCGGCGCTAGCGGGTGCTGCCACCTCCCGGCTCCAGCGCTGCCCTGTCACCCTGTCACACCGCGAGCTGTCACCCGGCAGCGCTTACCCCACGCACGGCCCTCAGATGAGCTGCACGGCGCCCGAGGCCACCAGCGGGGCGATGGTTTTGTAGCGGATCAGGTGCTGCGAGCCCTCCTCCAGGTCGATCGTGTACTCCCTGCAGGGGACAGAGGCCACTGAAGCTGCGGCTCCTTTTTCGCTTTCACACTTTGGCTTTGTATTTCCACAAAGCACAAGGGCACCGCAGGACCCACCTACCTCTGCTCATCAGTCTCTGGCTCCACCAGGATGTTCTCCTGTCTCTCCAACACCCTCAGGAATACAAAGGAATCCAGGTTGGGCTTTGGAACTGCAGAGGGAATGGATTCAGAGCAGAAACATCCAGCTAGGCTCTTCTGCAGGACCCTGAGCTGCGGCTAGGAGCAACGAACTTGGGGCCAATAAAAGGAATATTAGAGGCTTCCGATCAGATGCAGCTGGCACTGCCCAGCATACAATGACACTGAATGGCAGTGACCAACGTGGCCCTCTGCCAGCAGCACCAAGCCACGTTCCACACAGATATGACACTGTCACGTGTGTCCTACCAAGCTCCAGTAGAAGGACAAGGATGTACACTTTGTGGTCTCAAGAGCATTCCCCAAACACCCATAGCCGTAATCTTCCAGTTATCCTGGAGTCTGGATGTACTCACCTGATTTTAGGAGAGACACTTTCTGCAGGTTGGGCGGCATATGTTTTAGGGCTGCGTTTTTCAGGTAAGTTTCTGTGTTTGCCATGTACCTGAAATACACAATTGGAGCAACTATTGGTTTAATCAAAAACAAATACACTGATAGAATATTGACTGAGAATACCAGTAAGCGACACCTCCTGGTCTTACAGGCATGGCCAAAGACCAGCCTAGCTGCTTCCCTTGGCTACCAGTCTAGGCCCTCGGGGTGTTAACAGACTAAATAGAAAGATTATTTTATTTTGACACTTTCCTTGACCTTAAGGAAAGCTCTTGGTCAGGTTCCTGATTCCTACTGCAACCCAATACTCTATTCAGCATAATGTATCAGGGAGCTCTAGAAATCTGTGCAAAGAAAGCGAGACACATTCAAAACCTACTCACTCTTTAGCAAAGGCAAACTCCTCCGGTGACAGGATGGAAGGCTCCCCTTCTGCTCGAGACTTCTCCTTCTCCAGGACATGGGGGAAAAACTTCTCAATCTGGAATTGGAAAAAAAATTGCAGACTGAGAACTCTCTAGGAGTCTGCATCTGAAAGCCCCTTCTCCTCAGCAAGAAGTTTTCCCTCAGAGAAGTGCACAGCAGCATGCGGCACCCTCAGGCCTGCCCAAACACCTGAGTTTGAATTAATGACATGTTCAGCTAAGGTCCCCAAGCCACACGGCCATGCCTGTATGTGGCAGGACCCACACAGGATATACAGGAGCTCAGCTGGGCCATCCTGTGCCCACAGAGGGTCACAAAACACTCATGGCAATACTGCAATCCCACTCATTCACAGGAGAACAGGGTGCCCAGGGAAAGAATTTCCATGAACCATACTTGAGAGAGAGGGGGCTTTAACGGAGGGTCTTTACTGAAGTAGGAGGCATTGCACAGGTGGAGAAATCACTTCCAAAGCCCCCTCTTCGTCCTCACTGCAGCCCAGCAAGCATTACCTTCACAAGCCGACACCTCAGGTAGCTGCTGAGCACATAACGGATCCTCTCAATCTCCATGTGGTGGACGCTAACCTTCAAGTCTCCCTTCTTGGCCCGCTTCAAGTTTGCCTCCTGCAAAGACAAAACAAATGGTTCAAATGCCCAACAGCAAGAAATGCAGAGGAAGGGTGCACAGAGAGAGGCTGCGGCTGCTTTTAGTGACACAGAGGTCCCCGGAGCTCTGTTGCATCCCTCCCTGCGAGCTGCTCTGGGGACAGCAGTGCAGGAGGAGGCCCGGTGTGAGGCTGCTGTGGAAGGGCCCAGGCAAGGGGTCCCGCGGTGCCTACCATGTGGTCCAGCTGCTCCACCACGCACTCGATGATCTCGGGCTTGCTCTCCAGCAGCTCCGGGGCGAACTTCTCATTGAGCCAGGCCTGAGGGAAAGGGGAGCAGGGAGGGGGGACAAACACTGTAAGCGGCAGCTCGACCCCAGGCCCAGC